TTAATTTGCAATAAATAAATTTAATTTGCAATTATGCCAATCGTTTATACACAATTGTGGGGTATGGTCACATAGCCCGGCAGTCGTGTATAAATAAGTACTGGTGTGAAGGGGTTCTCGAAAACAAAAATGAAAATTTAAGATTTAAGTGACGGTAAGTGTGGCATAGTTGGGGTGGGGTGGGTATTACAGTTTTGGAGTGAAGGGTGAATGTGGCATGGTTTGAGGAAGGAGTGTGCCAGGATTAAGGGGGTTAATGAGTGTGGCAAAGAGAGGGCAGGTGAGTTTGGAGGGGGTGAGATTAACAGGACTAGGAGTGGTTAGTGAGAGTGTGGATGCATGAAAGGGCTGAAAGTGTGGAGGGGGTGACAGTGTGGTGTCGGGTGACAATGTGTGGGAATGTGACAGTGTATGAGTATGGTGACACCACATTGTAGGGGTGACAGTGTGTATAAGGGAGAGTGACTGTGTGTGAAGGGGATGATACTGTGTGTGTGAGGTGGTGACAGTTTGTGTGTGTGTGGAAGGGGTGATCTGGTGAGGGAGGGGGTGATAGTGTGTGGGATATAGGGGCGATAGTGTGTGGGGAGGTGACATACTGTGAGGGAGGTGGGTGATACTGTGAGGGAGCGGGGTCATGGTGTGTAGGAGGGGGGAATACTGTGCAGGGGCAGATCCAGAGCCTGATCTCAGGAGGGGCACTTGTAGATTATTTAAAGAAATAATCCAGGCACAATAACCACTACAGCTCAGTGTAGTAGTTATAGTGCTAGTAGTGCCAGGATCCCATCTCAGAGTAAGTAGTCAAACCGTTTAAGAACAGTTTGACAACTTACCTGGGGTCTGCTGGGATATAGGGTATAGGAGCAGTGGTATGTGTTAGGGGTGAAGTGTGTGTGAAAGGTGCAGTGTGTGTGTGTGTGAGCGGTGAAATGTGTGTGCGAGTGCGTTAGGCGGCAGTTTATGTCAGGGTTCCAGTGTGTGTGTTAGGGGCAGTGTATGTGTGGGGCAGTGTGTGAGCGGTGCAGTGTGTGTGTGAGAGTTGCAGAGTGTGTATGGGGGGAACTGTATGTGTGTTTGGAGGAGTGTGTATGGGGGGGCACTGTATGTGTGTGTGGGCAATGTGTGTATGTGTGGCAATGTGTGTATGGGGGGCAGTGTTTGTTGGGCAGTGTGTGTATGGGGGCAGTGTGTATATGGGATGCAGGGCAGTGTGTTTAGTGTGTGTATGGGGGCAGTGTTTGTGGGGCAGTGTGTGTAGTGTGTGTATGGGGGCAGTGTTTGTTGGGCAGTGTGTGTATGGGGGCAGTGTGTGTAGTGTGTGTATGGGGGCAGTGTTTGTGGGGCAGTGTGTGTAGTGTGTGTATGATTTGGAGCGTTGCCGTGGTAGAGAGGCTGAGCTCCCGGGTCCTCTCTCCCTCTCAACCCTGCCGGCTGCCAGCACAGTGCCTGCGGACCGGGGAGGGATATCTCTTCCCGGTCCGTAGGCACATTGCAGGGCTGGGACTTGGACAATGCCAGCCCTACATTAGCCGGCAGGGTGGAAACTCGGGGGGGGGTGCAATTGCCCCATTGTCCCCCCTCTGGATCCGCCACTGATACTGTGAGGGTGATAGTGTGAGGGAAGGGGGTAGCCGAGGGGGTAATACTGTGTGGGAGGAAGGATACTATGAGGGAGGGGTTAATACTGTAAGTGGGGAAATACTGGGAGGGAGGGGTGATAGTGTGAGGGGGGAATGCTGGGAGGGGGTGGGGTGATAGTGTGAGGTAGGGTGGTGATAGTGTAAGGGAGAGGGTAGTACTGAAAGGGATAAGGTAATACTGTGATGGGGAATACTGGGAGGGAGGGGGTTGATAGTGTGAGTGGGGAATACTGGTATGGACTTGGAAATACTGGGGAATATTGGGAGGGAGGGGGGATACTGGGAGAGAGGTGGGTGATAGTGTGAGTGAGGGTGTATACTGGGAGGGGGGTAGTGAAGGGAGATATTGGGAGGGAGGCGGTCATGGTGTAAGGGAGGGGGGATACTGGGAGAGAGGTGGAGGTAGTGTGAAGGAGGGGGTTTACTAGGAGGGGGTGATAGGGAAGGGGATTACTGGGAGGGAGCGGGGTGTAGTGAGGGGGGATGCTGGGAGGGAGGTGGTATATTGGGAGAGAGGAGTGCTACTGGGAAGGATGGGGTATACTTGAAGAGCGTTATATTGAGGGGGTTCTGGGAGGGGGTGATATTGAGGGGGTTACTGGGAGGGGTATATTGGAGGGGTTACTGGGAGGGGTATATTGGAGGGGGTTAATGGGAGGGAGGGGTGATATTGAGGGGGTTACTGGGGGTATATTGGAGGGGGGTTACTGGGAGGGAGGGTGATATTGAGGGGGTTACTGGGAGGAAGGGGGTATTCTGGGAGGGAGAGGGTATAGTGAGGGGGGTTACTGGGAGGGAGGGGGTATATTGGGAGGGAGGGGTTATATTGAGGGGGGTTACTGGGAGGGAGGGGGTATATTGAGGGGGTTACTGGTGGGGTGATATTGAGGGGTTACGGGCGGGTATATTGGAGGGGGGTTACTGGGAGGGAGGGGTAACCCGCGGCAACGCTCTGATTGGCCAGATCTCGCCAGACACTTGGGCTGCAGCTCTGTACACTGCGCGGAGCTGTAGACCAGGGGTTGCAGGCGGTCTCTCGCCAGGCAGCCAGGAGGGGCCTCGCACCCGGCGGCATACCGGGCAAGCCGCCGAGCCCCCTCCTGGTGTCAGGTCCTCGGTCACTGACCGAGGACCTGACACAGATTGCCCACAGGCGGTTTAGGCGGCCGCGAGGCCCCAGCCGGCGCGAGGCCTTAGGAGGCCGCCTAAACCGCCTAATTAGAGAGCCACCTCTGTGCAACACACTGACTAAAGCAGGGTCTAGTTTTTGTTCACAGATAATTGGGTACAGGCTTCTTGTAGTTGTCATGACTTTGTCCTGACAAATTTAAGACCAAAGTAGTTGAACTGAAACCATAACTGAGTTGGAGAATGTTTCCAGTGTATCTATGTTTGCCTTAAAGAAACAGTGTAGTGGCTACATATACACAAAAACAAGTCCTGCGCTCAAACTTCCACTACTCTTGGTTGGCAGCAAATAGAACACATCAGCCCCAATACATACAGTAAAAAACAAAGAAAAAAGTTACCTGTGCTCTTCCCAAAACCCTATACATGTTTAAACACATGGAGGTTATTTAGTTGTTCCAATGGCAATGAGAGTTAAGCCCACCTGCCTCGTCAAGGCAAACCTATAGGTGGTTCCTACTCTGACTATTCACCTTGCTTCCTTGAGCTTCTGGCAAAGATATCCTGAGGGGTCCTAAGTTACTCATGAGTGTGTGTGGTAGGGGGAGTTAATGGTCCCTGCAGTGGGAGAGTTGGTGCCATGCATGTGTTCCCAACCACAGTTTCTGTTGTTTTGCGCCATGTTGCTAGCCTTTTCTTTATCAGTTGTGTTGAGTGTAGTCTTAGGGGGAAAGGAGAGAGAGGGAAAACACAAATAGGGGATCTTACCAGTGTAGAACTAGTCCCATAGTTCCTGGAAGGATTTGGGAGCGTTGTGGAGGACAAGTGGATCCCCGGCATTGGGTTCCGGTACCCTATGTTGGTTCAGTTCCTGAGCTTGTTCCTGGTTCCTTGGCTCGTGTATTCTCGGATCTCGGGACGAAAGGTGTGGTGTGGTCAGGGTCCCAAGTGGAGGTGGAGGTACTTGGGTGTGTGTTGGCCGGCAGGCGCCCCAGGCCCAGTGCCGTCAGGAATGGTGATGTGTCTTCCAGCGAGGTCAGTGTGTGCAGGTTTCCATTTCGGGTCACCGTCAGTGATTCGTTCATTCCCCACCTATAGCTTATGTTGGCTGAGCGGAATAGGCTTTTTACTGGGTCCCTACATACTTATTAACCCTTAATAGGGAACACATGGGGTGGGTGGCCATAAACGCTACCTCTTTCTGGACGGGTCTGCCCTATTGGAGGCAGGGTTATTGACACAATTGCATCACTAGCCCACCCCTTTACTTCTCTCGCAGCAACATTCCGATTCTCAGGAGCTGGGAGGTGTGGAGTAGGATGGACAATCTATTATCAGCAAAGAAAGTTGCCAGTTCTTCATATTTCCACTAGATTACAGCAGTATAAAGGCATGGTAATATGCAGACTACTTGTAATGTTCAATAAAAAAAAAAAACTTTTAGGAAAAATGATGGTCTCAGTTCAGTTAATTGGATGTGTGTTTGTTTTATAATTTCCTTTAGATAGAGTATGTATTTGTTTAATGTATTTGTTTTACATTTTGTGGATTTTCAAATATGCTTTTAATCTGAATAGGAATAATGGCCAAGAGGTAACAATATTTAAATATTTGATATTTTTTCTTTACCTAATTTTAATTTATAATATTATTTGTATTGAGTTGGTTCCATAACACTTTTGAACATTTGGGTTGATTTTAGGTTAATGTCAACAAATCGATTAGCAATTTTATACATCATGTAATAAAAATAGCTTTGCGGTTTGGAATTCATTTTCTTTAATTGCTATGTAATTACTATGATAAATTCGGAGAGATTTAAAAAAAAAAAACCTTTCATGGTCATTTTGTTAAGGAATAAAAAATTATCCATAATAAGTCTATTTCTTCACTCTATAATTTCCAATAGAAAATAAGGATTCATTTATATGATTTATATGTTAGGTGTTTACTCACTGAATCAGCTGTGAGTCAGTGCCAAGTCAACATAGAATGTTGACTGATTTACCCATATTTTAAAAAGCTGGCAGTTTGAGCCTAATGTTAAATTGAACTGTGGTTGCTACTTTTATACAAGGTACTGGAAATTGGATGTTCTTCAAATGTCAAATTGAAGCTAAATTGATGCCAACATGAACCATTCAATTGACGCATCGACGCACGCTGACGTCGGAAGGCGGAAGTAGGTCCACGGAGTGGTCGCGGCTAAATTTGCCGCCCAACTAGGATATTTAAACGGTTATGTCTGTACTTCGGCAGGACGGAGAGGAACAGGGGCCATCGAAGGGACAGGAACGTCCCGAGCGCGCAGCCCGTTTCAAGGATTGCCCACTTTAAGGATCATTGAGTGACCTGCCATATTGACCAGATTCTGCAGAGAATGGATGATTGATTGTCTCTTCACCAAACAACAAATATTTTCACCCTCATCTATTATACACCATTTATAGACTTCAGCATCCTCCTACTGTGCATACTCTAAAGCAACTTCTACACTGGTGAGATCCATCCATACACAAATGAATTGTATAGTGCACTATATTTTGGACTATTAGTCATCAGGACTGTATTATATATTTTTTATTTTTCTTCTTTTTTTCTTTTCTTTTCTTTTTTCTTATTTTTTCTATTTTTTCATTTTTTCCATTTTTTTGCATTTTTTCTGGATTTTTTTCCACCTTTTTTTTTCTTCATTTTTTTCCATTTTTTGGATCATTACCCATTGTAAATAGATACATAGCTCATGAACTTCAGCACAGGGAGGATTTCGTGTGTATATATGTAAATAATCTATGTATATAGGATGAAATGAGTGTCACTATGATTAACTTTATGAACTTATCGAATAATTATTACAATAAACATTTTTGCAATTAAATACAGGATTAGATTTTACTGTAATCGTTTTGAGTGCGGTATTCATATTTGTTTATGATTTAGATTAGGAGGTTGTTGTGGGGTTAAACCTCGAATACCTGCACCTTGCATAATTGAGTGCCAGCACATATTGTGTTTTTGAACCATTCAATTCACTGGATTTAAAGGACACTATAGGGTCAGGAACAGAAACATGTATTCCTGACCCTATAGTGCTTAACTCACCATTTAGGTGGCTTGCCACCCCTTAGCACCTTAAAAGTTAACCCCTTAAGGACAGATGACGGAAATATTCCGTCATGATTCCCTTTTATTCCAGAAGTTGTGTCCTTAAGGGGTTAATAAAACTCACCTTATTTCCAGCGCAGGTCTGCCGGGACTAGCTCTGCCCCCTTGGTGACATCATCAGAATTGCTGATTTTTATCCAATCCTCATTGGATTGGCTGAAATTGACAAGGGGGTGGGGCCAAACACTGTTTTGTCCAATCAGCACCTTCTCATAGAGATGCATTGAAAAAATGCATCTCTATGAGGAAAATTCTGCTTCCCCATGCAGAGCGTGGAGATGCTGAACGGCAGAGCTGCCTACTGTGCAGCACTGAGCCAGGAAGCACCTCCAGTGGCCATCTGAGGAGTGGCCACTTGGAGGTATCCCTAGGGATAATGTAAACACTGCCTTTTCTCTGAAAAGGCAGTGTTTGGATAAAAATGCCTGAAGGCAATGATTATACTCACCAGAACTGCATTAAGCTATAGTTGTTCTGGTGACTATGGTGTCCCTTTAATGTAGCTAACTAAATGCTTTTTCACTGATTAAGCAGTCAAAAACACACAAATCTGATACCAGGTTCCGGTCGCTCTGTCACAACTTTGTTCCCTATTGTCCTACTTTTGGGAACATTAGGTAACTGCCCCAAAAAGCGTAGAGTAAACAGATCATTAGTTGCTCTTGTTGTATGTTCAGGGCACTAAGACCCTACAGGCATTTTGCTAACCAGCCTGCTTGATTGGTCAGCCTAGTTGACATGCCAGTACTTTTGGTGGACATTTCTCCTTTACAGACATGCCATTTGTATTACCGGCCTATCGCATTTACCATGCTTCACAGGACGTCTATGTTTGGGGTATGCAGAATATATTGAATATACAACACCAATTAACAGTATGCATCAAAAACAATGCCTACTCACTCACATGACTCCCTAAGAACAAGGCTCACTCCTATACTCCTCACCCAATAAATGGTAAATTTAGATTTAGTGCTAAATGGTATCCGCCCTTCCTTAATGCTAATGGTGCCTGCCTTCCAGGGAAGGAAGTTGACTTGGCAGGGAAGGGCTAGCATATAAGAACAGAGGATAAGACTACATCATAACTAGATTGATAAGGTGAGTTAGTCTTTAAGGGTTGGATATTTCATGATGTACAGTAAGGCTTGGGCTCGCTGAGCATCATGGGAAATGCAGTCCGCCCCTCGTACATGTGCAGTGTCATACTATTTGTTGTGTACTCATCCAGCAAGGAGATTTTTTTTTTTCATGACTGATTCACTAGCTATTCCGCCCCAATTATACTGAATCCAATTCAGCTTAATCTGGGTGAAATCATTCCCGTAGTAAATATGATGAATATGAGCTGCATATTGAATAGGCCATAATAGCCCAAACAGGGCTGAACAGTAGAGCACATTTGACACTTAGTGATAGGGACCCCATATTTCTTTTAAATTGCCTCTCTTTTGTTTTGTTTTTTGTGTAATTTCGAGACAAGTTGTCTTTTTAATTTTTTCAAGAGAATCCAAAGGGAATCTATTAATGGGACACTCACATGCCTTTAAATTCTTACTTATTCCTCCTTTTATGTTTTTAAATATACGAGTCACATTGCATCCACACACCATGTATGTACATTTGGAAAGAAAATGTGTATATGTCCCCCGATTTGTGATGTCAAAGAGTGGACAAGTAAACAGATAACTGCACTTATTGATGCCCAGATTATGTGTAGATGTTTCAGTACACAATCCAAGCAATTTAGTTGTGCCTCTCAGTGTATGTTGTCCCTGCTAATATCTTCCACCCGGCTACTATGAGATGGATTGTGTAGGGAACCTCTTTGCACAGTCTGCACCTGTGTGTGTCTGTGTGTGTGTATTAGTGATGTCCCGAACGGTTCGCCGGCGAATAGTTCCTGGCGAACATAGTGTGTTCGCGTTCGCCACGGACAGCGAACATATGCGATGTTCGGTCCGCCCCCTATTAATTTACTAATACTAAGTAAAAATTACTTAGTATTAGTAAATTGTGCCCCTACTCGCAATACTGCGAGTAGGGGCATGTCTATTAAACAGTGAGCAGCCTGTGGTTGCTCACTGTTTAAAAAAAAAAAAAAGGGCCCCCCCCCAGTGGGGGCCCTAAATACTGATAGGGGGGGACCTATTGTCCTCCCCCCGGCCCCCACCCCTGAGTGGTGGCCCTAAAATGAACAATAAGGGGGGACCTATTGTCCCCCCCGCCCCCACCCCTGCGCGGCGGGTGGGGGCCATATTGATAATGAGGGGGGGACCTACTGCCCCCCCGGCCCCCACCCCTGCGCGACGGGTGGGGGCCATATTGATAATGAGGGGGGGACCTAATGCCCCCCCCGGCCCCCACCCCTGCACGACGGGTGGGGGCCAAATTGATAATGAGGGAGGGGACCTACTGCCCCTCCCCGGCCCCCACCCCTGCGCGGCGGGTGGGGGCCATATTGATAATGAGGGGAGGGGGACCTACTGTCCACCCCCCCTCCGGCCCCCACCCCTGGGCGGCTGGTGGGGGCCATAAAGATAATGAGGGGGGGGGACCTACTGTCCTCCCCCCCCGGCCCACACCCCTGGGCTGCGGGTGGGGGCCCTAAGTAAATTCCCCCCACCCAAGGTGACTAGGGGTCGCCAAGCCCCTAGTCACCCACCCCCCCCAATAAAAAGTCCCTACCTACCCCCCTCACCCTAAAAAATAATGAGGGGGGAATAAAATAACTAACCTGTAAAATAAAATTAAACTTACCATTCAACGTCTTCTTTTTTCTCAAATCTTCATTTTTCAGCCCCAAAAAAGGCCAAATAAAAAACCATCATAACCGTCGAACTAAAAAAAATAAAAATCCCAAGGGCAAAAAAAAAAACCTGACGAAAAAGAAAAAACCTGAGCGCAAAAAAAGAATCCATCTTCACCCATGAAGGTCTCCGCGCAGACTAAGCTCCGCAGGGCGGGGGAAGGCTTATAAAGCCTTGCCCCGCCCTGCAATTAGGCTAAGAACACTCTGATTGGTGGGTTTAAGCCAATCAGAGTGCTCTTTGTCATTTTACACAGCGTGGGAACTTGAAAGCCATCCAATCACAGTGCTCTGTGCCATTTTACACAGTGTGGGAAAATTGAACTTTCCCACGCTGTGTAAAATGACACAGAGCACTGTGATTGGATGGCTTGAAATCCATCCAATCACAGTGCTCTGTGTCATTTTACACAGCGTGGGAAAGTTCTTTTGAATTTTCCGCTGTGATTAATATGGATGAATTCAAGCCATCAATCACAGTGCTCTGTGTCATTTTACACAGCGCGGGAATGTTCTTTGGAATTTTAAAACCCACAGGGACTCTTACTGGTTGAAGGGGGAGAGACCTACTCTCCCCCTGGCCCCCACCCTGGGCTGGTGGGGGCCATAAAGATGGACCTACTGGCCCCCACCCACCGCCACAAAAAGGGGACTATTGCCCCCCGCCCTAATAACAATAAGGGGGACCTATTTTCCGCCCCCACCCTGAGTGGTGGGTGGGGCCCTAAAATGAAAAATAAGGGGGACCCCTGCGCGGGGGTAGCCATATTGATAGTGAGGGGGAACCTACTGCCCCCCCCCGCCCCTGCGCGGCGGGTGGGAGCCATATTGATAATGAGGGGGGGACCTACTGCCCCCCCCGGCCCCCACCCCTGCGCGACAGGTGGGGGCCATATTGATAAGGAGGGGGGGGACCTACTTCCCCCCCGGCCCTCACCCCTGCGCGGCGGGTGGGGGCCATATTGATAATGAGGGGGGGGGACCTACTGCCCCCCCCGGCCCCACCCCCTGCGCGGCGGGTAGGGGCCATATTGATAGTGAGGGGGAACCTACTGCCCCCCCCCGCCCCTGCGCGGCGGGTGGGAGCCATATTGATAATGAGGGGGGGACCTACTGCCCCCCCCGGCCCCCACCCCTGCGCGACAGGTGGGGGCCATATTGATAAGGAGGGGGGGGACCTACTTCCCCCCCGGCCCTCACCCCTGCGCGGCGGGTGGGGGCCATATTGATAATGAGGGGGGGGGACCTACTGCCCCCCCCGGCCCCAACCCATGCACGGCGGGTGGGGGCCATATTGATAATGAGGGAGGGGGGACCTACTGTCCACCCCCCCTCTGGCCCCCACCCCTGGGCGGTGGGTGGGGGCCATAAAGATAATGAGGGGGGACCTACTGTCCTCCCCACCCCCGGCCCCCACCCCTGGGCGGCGGGTGGGGGCCATAAAGATAATGGGAGGGGGGGACCTACTGTCCTCCCCCCCGGCCCCCACCCCTGGGCTGCGGGTGGGAGCCCTAAGTAAATTCCCCCCCCCAAGGTGACTAGTCACCCACCGCCCCCTCCCCCCCAAATAAAAAGTCCTTACCTACCCCCCTCACCCTAAAAAATAGTGAGGGGGGAATAAAATAACTAACCTGTAAAATAAAAGTAAACTTACCATTCAACGTCTTCTTTTTTCTCAAATCTTCATTTTTCAGCCCCAAAAAAGGCCAAATAAAAAACCATCATAACCGTCAAACTAAAAAAAAAAAATCCCGAGCACAAAAAAAAAAAAACCAGACAAAAAAGAAAAAACCCGAGCGCAAAAAAATAATCCATCTTCACCCATGGAGGGCTCCGCGCAGACTGAGCTCTGCAGGGAGGGGGAAGGATTATAAAGCCTTGCCACGCCCTGCAATTAGGCTAAGAACACTCTGATTGGTGGGTTTAAGCCAATCAGAGTGCTCTTTGTCATTTTACACAGCGTGGGAAAATTTTGAATGTAATGATTGAGCACTGTGATTGGATGGCTTGAAATCCATCCAATCACAGTGCTCTGTGTCATTTTACACAGCGTGGGAAAATTCCAAAGAACTTTCTCACGCTGTGTAAAATGACACAGAGCACTGTGATTGGATGGATTTCAAGCCATCCAATCACAGTGCTCTGTGTCATTTTACACAGCGTGGGAAAGTTCAATGATTTATTTTTAAAGCAAAAATGTAAATTAAGACCATACATAGGGAAGGTTAAGAGATATAGGCACTTGTAAAAACGAGTTAAGACTATATTATTGTTTTCATTTTGTTAGACTTGCTTTATCTACAGACTTCTTCAAACTGTTAATAAAATGTTCTGTTGTAAAAACAAAATGGCAGCTCCTTAAAGCTATAGGTTTTCTTAAATGTCTTGAAGAAATTGTGCTCACTAAAATGTTAACAGAAGCAAAATATCTAAAGGATATACAGGTCTTTGGGGTATCATAACTGTTTAAGATATTGCCTTAAATAGCAACATAAAACAACTGTTTTTTGATGTACATGAGATGTTATATATCCCACTTATCATTTTGTATATATTATCATATACATATTCCACTTTTCAGTGTATAAAATAAAACTTTAGGGTCACAAAAGAGAAAGTAAAAGCTAGTTTAAATATAAATTTGCAAACACAAACAAAATGAATAAATATTTGAAAACATTATGTTAAAAAATTGTCAGAGGACGACAGTGCAGCAACCTTGCAAATTTTCTGCTTAATGAGACTTCTGGGAAAAATTTACTGCTGATCACATTATGATTAGAAGGACTCCAGTGTAATCGCAATATTTTCAGAAAAAATAAATGAATGACAAAGAAAAAGCAGCTGTGCAGGTAAGAAGCTGTTTATAAGACTTTTTTATAAGACTCCCAATCGAGGCTTTAAAAAATGATACACTTAGTCATCTTTTTTATATTATTTATTCTACCCATGTGATACAGAGCTTTACAGGGTTATTCACTACAGCGAGAATTTAAAGGGAATTCAAAATAGCAGAACTGTAAATCGTCTCTAAGTAGTTTTGCTTTCAGTTTGGCCTTTAATGTTAAATTCCCCTTGAATTCACTTTTAATGTCCACTTTAGTAAATAACCCCGTTAGTCATTAAAAAAATAAGTAACTCAACACTTTTTTTCTCTTACTTTTTCTTTCCTCCTTTACTAATTTGTTTTCTATACTAACATTAACAGTCATTAAAGGACCACTAACATCACCAAGCCCACCATCACAATGAAGTGGTCTGAGTGCAGTGGTTCTGTCATTTAAAGCTTTTAACGGCTCTTCCTCCTTCAGAACTAAGTGAAACTCTTTCCTGAACTCATATGCTGCTGATTGGCTGACCATGCCTATTTCCAATCCAATGCTTCTCTCTGAGAAACATTGGATTGGAACAGATTGAGGAAGAGCATATGGCATTTTGAAAGAGCTATTTAAGGAATACTCCCCAAAAAATCAAATAAAGCAATTTTTTTTAATAGTTTATAAATAGAATTTTTTTTCTTTCTAATTTATAATTTTTATTGTACCATCGCAGTAACAGTAACAATATTTCAATCAAAAAACAGATGGTGCAACAGAGTGGCAGCTTATGCAAAATAAGGCTGCATCAGTTAAGGGTATATAATGTCAGCAAATGAACGTTAAGTTTAAATTGTCACTAGGAAACCCATATCATTAAAAACAGTGCTAGTAGGTACAGCCTAAGTAACAAAAGATATGGAAAAAAACATGGTCTACCAAATTAAAAGGTCAGTATGTAATGTCAGCTATAAGTTGCACTTTTTATAAAGAATTAGCTGAGGTTAAACATTACGACACATGCTGACATATTAAGGGGATATGTTCTCTTCGGGGAGCCTATACACATCGACTAGATATGCCATAAACCCTGCAATTAGGCCATCATTGTTATGTAATGTCAGAGTCATGGTAGAAAATGAAAGACATGAACTTATGCAAAATATATAAAAAAAAAACAAAAAAACAGGAATGTAAATGAGGTGTTAGAAATTATATCTCTAGCCTTTGGACCACCATAGGAGCAGTCCGTTTCCATAGTGAACTCAGGTGACTGCCGAGGTTGATGCTTTTGGGCTTGTTGGTTTAATCTTGTGTATGTCCCAGGTCTTATCAGTACTGATATAGGTTGGCTCTGTTACTGGTGTGGTGGGAGTGTTCGTGATGCTCACCAACAAAAAGTGCAGTGCAGTAAATCATTTTTTCAGATTCCGATGCTTGTGAGATGTGGATGCGTTTCCCCTCACGTAGAAGAGATAGCTTGCGCCCTGGAACCCAGCGATATGGGATGTCCTTGTCCCCTTAGGGTTGTGTCACCAATCTCATTGATTGTATCCATTGCAGTGTGGAACGGCATAGGTCATTGTAAAATGAGAAGTCAGCTCCTTCGAATTGGTGCTTGTTGGATGCATGAGTTGCCGCTTGTACCGCAAGTTTGCTGAGGATTGTTTGGAAACAGAGCAGTATGTACCGTGGGACTCCATCCGGGGCTTTGGGTCTTTTGGGTACTCTGAAATAGTGATCCACCAATACAGTTTTTGCCTTCGCTGAGGGAAGGATGGAGGTCACCAAGCGTGAGACCAATCTTGTGACGTATCGGACATCTGTATTGCATTTTAACATGGTGACCCGTGCCTCTATCCTGTGGTTTTCGTTTATTTGTGTTTTTGTTTGTCTGCCATTGGTGCAGTTTTTTTTGCTTGCCTCTCGTTTTGGGAGAGAAAATGGTATGTTGCCCTCTTAAAATAACTGATCCACAGGTGTTTATTGCTTTGATGTTACTATTATATTATACATGATTAAGACGGCTAGGCTGAAACATATGTCTTTTTTAAATCTGTTTGGAGGAAATTACTGTTAGATTTGCCACTACTGTGGAGTGTTCCTTTAAATATGACCTGTAACGTTCTTTTGATTGCAATGTCGTTTTCAAACCACCAGTTCAGTCTCTTTATAAATACAGTTTGTGAGATAGTGACAAAAAATAACATTTGTGGTCTGTATCAAATTATATTTCTGGAAAACTGGAATGAAAATACAACTGGGGAAATCTGTTACATAATAGTGAAACTCAACATTACAGAGTAAAATTACAATATGTAGAGACATTCCACAGATGGAAAAATAAAAAAAATAAAAAAAATCTAAGTTTAAAAGTAGAAGATGATCAGCACTACTCGGTTATATGATATTGAACAGACACAAAAGTAACATGTTCCCTGCAGGAAACCATCATGAAAGCTAACTTTCCATCTCAACTATCTGCTGTGACCGCTTAGAAATGGCATGTTCATGTAATGCAGCACAATCAGCACATGTGAAGAGGAAACCAAATCCAAAAATAATAAAGATTAAAAAAAAAGAAAAGAAAAAAACCTGATGTATACAAATGAGAAAAGCAGTATTCCAGTGAAGTAAAAAAAAAGTATTTTAGTTAGAATCTTGAACCTCTTTGGTGGCACTATCATCAGTGGAATCCAGCAAATCATTTGTTAATTATACTGTTTATTTTTATTCTATTTTGAAACATTTTGATTGTGGAGGTCCCTGAGGAAGTCAATTGCTACGGACGAAACGCGTAGGACCGCAGGCATAACTAGGCAATAACAGAAAAAAAGAAGGATAGTGCGTAGGCGCTTCACTGTAATTGTGACAGTTCTGTATATAATAAAAATATACAATAGATGGTGTAACCGGTACCCTAGTGCTTCCCTTATACACCAGATTTACATAATACAATAAAAAGAGACAAATACCAGTATATACACCTCCCCAATGTGATCACAACAAAAATAAGTGATATTACCAATTTAGAACTGGACTGTAATGTAAACAGCGTAGAACTTGATTGGGGTATAAACTAAAATAGAAAAAACATAAAAAACATAGTGCAAACTGTATGATTAAAAATAAGTAATAGATAAATGTGTGACTCTCACTCACATTCTCCAGAGCCATACCAGGCTCTGTATAACAGGCTCAGGGGTGCCAATAACTGGCTAACGATCCAGGTGGTCCAAATAGATGAGACTCCAAAGGTTAAATATAAAATATATTTATTTATAAAAATATATAAAAAATATATAAAAAAGTGTATACACTACTGGGCACTATGGGGGTGGAACCCAAAACGGACAAGGATATATATAAAACAACAATGGAATTCCACTTACCCCTATCTGTATAGTAGCCCAGAGTGACAGGAATACACATAAAATAACAAATACAAATGCAGAAGATCACGGGTCACCATTGTTGTTTTATATATATCCTTGTCCGTTTTGGGTTCCACCCCCATAGTGCCCAGTAGTGTATACACTTTTTTATATATTTTTATAAATAAATATATTTTATATTTAACCTTTGGAGTCTCATCTATTTGGACCACCTGGATCGTTAGCCAGTTATTGGCACCCCTGAGCCTGTTATACAGAGCCTGGTACGGCTCTGGAGAATGTGAGTGAGAGTCACACATTTATCTATTACTTATTTTTCATCATACAGTTTGCACTATGTTTTATAACTAGGCAATGGCTGTTTGCAAACTTTACATCATTGTCATAAAAGATTTTTATACCCTCTTTGGTGAAGTTATTTAACATCCAGACGTCAGCGATTCTGTGACGGAGGATTACTGTGGCCCCGTTCATTAACATCGGGGTTGGCAGACGGAAAAGTGTTCTTTTGAGTTAGAATTTGGGTTTAAAAAAACTCTTTCGACTATGCCTTCTACTCCTCGGCCTCACGCTCATACTCCAGGATAGACATGATGTTCCTTACCCAAGATCACCTGCACCTGGCCATCTCCTGCTCTTACGGCCCAATCACCTGGTCGGATCATGCACCTCTGTCTCTTGCCATACAGATCCCTACGCTCCCACTAACGTCCTTTCATTGGAAACTTTATGACTTCCTCCTCAATGACCCCACAGTCACAACACGAGTGGCAACCGCACTCACCAACTATTTCCAAGAGAACACGCTTCCAACCATCTCCCCCATGACCACTTGGGAAGCGCACAAATGTGTCATAAGGGGGGAATTCCTAGCAATAGCGGCCACTCTCAAAAAACGGAGAACACAGAGAATAGACACACTCACACAAGAAATTAGAGCTCTTGAGCACACCCATACCCGGGACAGTTCTCTATCGACCTATAACATCCTCATAACCAAGCGCACAGAACTGAAGCAACTACTGCAACAACAGGCCAAGAAAAACTACCAGGCACTCCTACTATTCAAAGGGAGGTAAATGTGGCAAACTACTCGCCAATGCCTTACGACAGTCCAGGCAAAACACGTACATCTCCAAAATCAAAACACAGACTGGCACTATATCCCACACCCTCCCGGACATCATGGAAGCCTTCCAACATTTCTATACCAAACTTTACAACCTCAGAGATTCACCCCCAGATATAACCGACATAAAAAGGTTCCTATCAACTAGGCTAAAAAACACAATCCCCGAAGCCGTTGCACACTCCATAGACGTGCCTATTACCATTGAAGAATTAAACTGCATGATAAAATCAACGCCACTAGGCAAAAGCCTGGGCCCTGACGGCCTAACAGCCAAATACTACAAACAATTTGCCACACTCCTGGCTGAACCATATCTACGGGCATTTAATGCTCTTACCCATTCGGCCCCACTCCTGGCATCAGCATTGGAAGCACATATCACTCTGCTACCAAAACCAGGTAAAGACCCCACTGAGTGTGGCAGTTACCGCCCAATCTCGCTTATTAATGTAGACTTGAAGATATGTACAAAAATCTTAGCCATGCGTCTACAACCTGTACTGCACACCTTAATTCACCCAGATCAATCTGGTTTCATCCCTAAACGCGAGGCCAAATATAACACAACAAAAATGCTAAACCTCATCCACCTCTCCCGAACTACGCAAAGGTAGAGCCTACTATTATCTATAGATGCTGAAAAAGCGTTTGATAGAGTAGACTGGACAATGCTGACCGCCACCCTTCAGGCCATGGTTTTGGCCCAAACTGGATGAAATGGATGGGAGCCATATACTCTCACCCAACGGCGAAATTGAGAATAAACGGCCAACTGTCAGGTCCAGTACACATAAGAAACGGCACGAGACAGGGATGCCCTCTTTCCCCTTTACTCTTTATCCTCACCCTAGAACCCTTCCTGCAGGGAATACGGGACCACAACACCGTTCACGGCTTTAACGTTCACGAACAAGAGTTCAAGGTCTCTGCGTTTGCGGATGACCTACTATTTTCCATCACTGACCCGCTCACCTCCTTGCCACCCCTGATAGCCGAACTGACGATGACCCGCCAAATTATCCAACTTTAAGGTCAATTACACAAAAAGTGAAATATTACCCCTCCAACTGGACAGACAAACACAAAGTGCGCTTAAAACTGCATACCCCTTTACATGGGCTAAGAGGTCCATCACTTATCTTGGGGTCCATCTACCCAGACACTTGAAGCACACATATGACCTAAACTTTATGCCACTACTCACTGAGATATCAAAAGATCTGGTAAGCTGGCAGAGACCCGTCTTTAGCTGGCTATGTAGGATCAATATATTGAAGATGAATACATTGCCTAAAGTGTTATATCTCCTACGAACACTCCCCATTGCAACCCCCCCCCCTCTTTTTTCTCCAAGCTCAAACAAATATTTACAAATTTCATATGGGCGACTAAGCGCCCGAGAATAGCTTATTCAATTCTGACTAGACACAGGGGAAGGGGGGGTCTAGGCCTACCCCACATGGAACGCTACTATCAAGCGGTCATATTGACTAGAATATACGAGTGGACCGCAGATTCCCCACTGAAGCAAAGGGTACACATAGAAAGCTCAATGTTCCAATCCCCATTAAACATAATTCCATGGCATGATAAGGGACACACACTCCTCCTACCCCAGCACTCACAGCACCCAACGATCCTACCCACACTACGCCAGTGGTCGCGCATTAGACCCTAGAAGGATGTCTCACCACACCCCTCACCTTTCTACCCTTTGGCACACAATCCAAAGTTCCTACCGGGCACATGCCTGCACTTCTTCTCCCAATTTCCACTTGTCCAAAAGACGAGATACCCGATGGTTAATACAGTTATGACACCAACAGGAATAGTTCCACTGTCTATACTAGCCACCACAGACCACCCCACTACCAAACAACATTTCCGATACGCTCAATTGTCCCACTTCTTGAAGGGGGGCCCACACTTTATCCGGGGAACAAGGGCACACACTATCTTTGAGACCTACTGCACTACACACAGCCTCCAGATCAAACACTTGTCTATTTTCTACAAACTCCTTTGCACCACAAGCCACACCCTACTGCCTACGTTCACGTCGGCATGGGAAGATGAGTTAGGTTTCACCATTCCTCAGGAAACATGGCATAGGATATTCACACACACCCATACATCATCTGTCAGCACAGCAGTGAGGGAAAGCACATACAAAAGGATATCCAGGTGGCATTACTCACCTACTAAGATCCATGCACTCTTCCCGACAGTACCTGATATATGTTGGAGATGCGGGCAAACTAAAGGTACTACAGCTCACATCTGGTGGCTATGCCCAACAATCCAAACTTATTGGC